AGAAAAAGGTTTCGCTGACCGAATGCCCGCCAGTTGTAACCGCTGTTCTAGAAATAGCTAACCAAATCAACAGAGTTGCTTAACCCATTTTAGACCAAGCATAGGAATTTTATAAAATGTGGGATTATTTTTATGGAAATATGCTTGAATTACATTTATTGAGACACAAATAATATTTCGTGCATGAAAAATAATATTTTATTTAAAAAATAAAATGATGCACCCTGCGTCTATGCATAGTTAGCCAAATCAAAGTACAAATCATTTAGTTCAAAACTTTTATTTGACATTTGTTTGATTTTTATTTTATTTACAGAACTTGCAACTTTAATCAGTCATAAAAACATATTATTAATTAAAAAAAAAAATTATACATTATCCAATTGACGAATTTATTAAACCCTCCAAGTTAAAAAACAAAAACTAGCGTAGTTAAAATTTTTTCAACCAAAAGTGTTTGCTCCAATTGAATAACTAATATTTTATCGCTACAGAACCTTGAAAATAGCAAAATTAGTGAAAAATATAAGTCACAGTATTAATAAAAAGTACTCATTGAAAAGGTGACGTGTTTACGCTTCTATAGTTGAAAATGGGTTAATTTTAAAGACATTTGTCATGTTTTCACTTTTTTATTGTTGTATGCCGCCGATTTAGGATAGATTTGAATAAATAAAATCAAAGAATCGATTAAAAATTTAATTAAAAAACGTAAAATAGAAATTTAACTACAAAAAAAATGGGGAAAAAGGGGTAAAAATCATTTTAACAAAAGTATTTCACATTTGGAAATCCTATTTGATTTTGAGAACATTTTTCTTCTTTTCATTTACATATGGTTGTAGGCCGTTGATTTTTAATGAGTTAATAAAAAGGAAATTAGGAGGAAAAGTTTAAGTTCAAATTTTTATATTTTTTACTTCTTTAAAGTATTAATTAATATTTATACTTCCAAAACCCAGACAATAAATTGGAAAATACTTGGCACTTATTAAAAAATAATATATAAAGATTTTTTTTTTCTGTTTGCATGCCTTCACAAAACGATTATCTATGCAAAAATATTGGTCAAAGTTTTTAATTGCAATAAAAAATTATAAAAAAAAAAAAATAGAAATTCGGTTCAAGTGATATTTTGAATTATCTTATGTAAATATCTCATTGAGCCTAGTGGATTTTGTTATATGACAAAAACGGGAAGATATACCCCATAAAAAAATGTCCTAAAATATGCAAAAAATAAAAATACATAATTTTTAATGTAATAACTTAAAATAACTGAAAAAAATTAAGTTAAATTAAACTTTTTAAAAATATACTCTACCACATTTATAAATTTTTCGAAATGAAAATTGCTTTTTCTGCAATTGGGTACTCGCACTTCAAGAAGAAGATCACGGATACCCACATATGAAACCTATGACGTCGGCGCCAGCTGATAGTCTATAATCAAAACGACATGTTAAAGTTAAGCTAAATTTCTCCACATAAATTAGAATGTTAATTAACGTGAAATTAATTAAATACAACGCCTTATCACTCATCGAATTTATTAAAATATAACTTTTCTCTCGTCTACGGCTTTTACTTATCTTAGATTTATTATTTGTTTACATATTACATTGTAAGCGTGATATATATTGGCGATTTCGATGCACAATTAGATTGTTTGCGTTGTACGTGGCTTTATGCCAGTCTCTGTATTAAGATATACAAATAACGACCCTTACGACATGGCGCATTATCCTGTTGGTAAACACCATCCCCCGCAGGAAAAAATGTTGCCATGAATGGGTGAACCTGGTCTGCAACTATGTTCAAGTAGCTTACAGACGTCAGAGATTGTTCTATGAGGATTATGGGTCCTAATGTGCCTCATAAAACATGGTTCCTGGGGGAGAAACCATGAAAACCTGGGCGAACCCATTGTTATAGATGGAGGGTGGTCATAATGTAAGGGCTTTTCGGTGTATACGCAAAATTTAATGTTTAGCTTAAAAATGAAAAATTATAGTTAATGCTAAAGATTTAAGTTACCGGTAAAAAGTAAATTAGTTTTATCCTACAGTTCGTGATCTTATTTCTGTAAAATAAAAAGAACTATACTATGATCAGAAAATGAACATAATGCACAAAGTATAATATTATTATAAACTTCCAATAATTGAGATTTAACATGCGATTTTCTTTCCGAACTTTACAAACACATGGGTGACCATCTTATTTTCTTTTATTATCAGCGATGAACAGCCGACCCAACTCTGAGTTTCCCAACCCAGAAAAAAAGGATCTCCTAGCTGGATCGTTATAACCGTTGTTGAACCCAATTTTTTGGGTTTATGGCTACTGCTGTTCAACTCCGTAGCCTTGTAATTTTGAACCAATCCAGAAGACGAGGAAACTCCTGGATCTGTTAAGGGAACATGGAGGACTTTGAGACTCGATAGATTTAACGTGCATCAGTCACCAATTACTACACGGGGAGTCTTTCGGCCGGCGAGGATCAAACCCATCACTTCTTGGACATGGGCCCAGGGTCCTACCAACCAGGCTATCCCGGCCCTAGATCAAATATTGGATAACCTTCGTGAAAGACTTCTAGTTTTTATGGAACTAATGCACATTTGCGTTACATGGAAAGGAAAACCTCCCACGGTTAGCACGATGGTAAAAGGATTCTAACCGATTATCCGTCTACCACGGAGAATAGTTTACGTCAGCACTCTGATCAGTGCGAGCCGGGAGCTGAATTCGTATCAACCAGCCATCCCTGGGATTCGAATTTGGGTGTCATCATTGGAAGACGTCAGCACCATCCCCTAAGCTACCGTGGTATTATTTTCACGACTGCCGTCTATAAATGTAGAACTAGAGCTATAACGAGCTTTATAGTGAGTCTATATTAAAGTATCCAACTCATTATCTCACTCAAGAAAGCTTAAATTACTCAAGAGTACCTATTCTAGTTTTTTCCCCCTCACAACAAAGCTTTTAACATTTCTCCATTTATTAGTTTTTCCTTTAAAAACTAAAACTTAGAAACTTGTTTTATTTTAAAAAAATACTATTTCCTTTTTGCAACAACCCTCTTTTGATCAATACTCAAATCCACCATATTTTTATCGGCACACGAACCCACCATCATTTGATCGATTTCTAAATCCACTCAATCAATACTATATCGACTCTTTTAATTAATACTCGAACCAGCTATCTTTTTATCGGTATTTGATATCGCTATAATTTGATCAATAGTCAAATTCACTATTTTTAACGGTTATCGAGCCCGCTATCATTTGTAGAGTTTTCGCACGAACGCGGCTCGAACATACAATCTTTTTATCGATACTTAATCAGTTTTTCGAACGCAGTCTATTTTGATCAATGTCAAATCCCACTATATTTTTATCCGTACACGAAATTACTATCATTTGTTCAATAATTGAATTCACTATTTTTTAACGATAATCGAACCCACTATCATTTGTTCAATTGTCGAACCAAGCGTATTTTGTACAAAACTCGAATCCACTATCATTTGAATAATTTTTGCACAAACTCTCATTTGATCAATACTGGAATCCACTATCTTTTTTTATCAGTTCTCGAACCCGCTATCATTTCATCAGTTTTTCTCAGCCATATCTTTTTTTGATCAATACTTAAGTCCACTATCATGTTCTTAGTATTTGAATCCGCTATCACTTGAACAGTTTTTCGAACACAGTATCATTTGATCAACGTTCGATTATTGAACAAACGAAAGTGGGTTCGAGAACAGATAAAAAATACAGTGAAATCGAACATATATCAAAAGATATTGCGTCTGAATTACTGATCAAATTATAGCGGATTTAAATACGGATGAAATGATAGCGGGTTCGATAACTGATAAAAACATAGTGAGTTCAAGTATTGATGAAATAATTTGTGAAAAAAAGTGTGGAAATGATAGCATGTTCGAGTAACGATAAAGAAAATTGGCTTCAATTATTAAAATTTCAGAGGGGGTTCGAGCACCGATAAAAATTTAGTAGATTCGAGCACTGATGAAAAGATAATGCGTTCTAAAAACTGATCAGATTACAGCAGGTTCAAGTACCGATAAAAAAGTAGTGGTTTCCAGCATTGATCTAAAGAAAGTTGGTGCTGTTGTTGTTCATTTACGTCGCACTAGAGCTGTACAATGGGCTATTGGCGACGGTCTGGGAAACATCCCTGAGGATGATCCGAAGACATGTCATCATAATTTTGATCCTCTGTAGAGGGGATGGGACCCCCGTCCAAACATCTTTCGCACATTAAAGAAAACATGTAAATATTCCAGTTAATTATCAGTGGGAAAAAATATTAACATTATATCTTTATCAAAAATTGATTTTAAGAACAAATCAGTAGTCTTATCACTAACAAATTATGAATAAGAAAGTATTTAACCAGAAATAAAGTTTAATGGTGTAAATGCATGATGGTGTTTTGTGTAAATGCTGAGTGCTCTTGCTAACAAACCGACATTATCAGAATTATTAAATACCATTGGCAAAATTTTTTAATTATTTTCTCATACACAGCGATTAGGGTAAGCTTTTTTTAAAAAATAAATCACTCATGGGATGCAATAGCGACTTATCTTATAACTTATGGCTTCTCTGATTGGATATTCAAACGCTCTGCCAGGCATGCATTGGCACAAGGAACAATTAAGATCTAAATTTTTAGATGCACCAGACAACATATTTTAGAGCTATTCTAGAAACCCATTCTCTGTCATCTACAGAGAGAATTAGTGGTCAAAGTAAATTTTCCAACATGATGATGCCTCTATTCATGTCGCAAATATATTATGTATGATTACAAATTATAGCTTAAATAAATGGACTTGTGCAATTGTTTAACTTGAGTTAATTATGACAAATTTAAGACAATAAATTTTCCTATTTTAACTTTTTGAAAAATGGATATTGAATGCATATTCAAAAGTATAAAGCATTTTTCAGAAATTTTTATATAAAAATGATTTATTCAGAACTACGAAATATGGATATATACACATGGGAGAAATACAGATTATCACACATGTTTTTATATTTTAACATATTTAAAAATGCATATTTGTACGGAAGTATCACAAAATTTATGTTGAACATTTCTGTTAGGTGGTGTTTTCACTAGATGAGAAATTCAAGTCTTTTTGTACATTAAAAGCATATTTCCTTTCAATATGAAATGAATTAAAAGTGAAAGGAAATTAAGAAAATACAGCTTTTTCCATTTCTTCTAATTTACGTAATAATTCTTTAGCTTTCTCTAACTCAATAGTTTCAGTAAAGCAAGATGAGTTATTCTCAGCTGTTCCATTTGTTGAAGTATTTTCATCAACTTCCATGGCTTCATCCTTTGAAGATAAAAATTCTCCTTTAGAGGGAAGAATACCCTTTAATGGTGTTAAAAGTTTCTGAAAGAGTAAAATAATAGGTAACCATCTGATTAATGACTTAGATAATAGAAGAGTTATCAAAATAAATCTTAAAAATTGATTTTTCTGATTAAAAAAAAAATTAATGTATTGGTTTTTAAAATTTTCTTTTAAAAAAATTATTATATGAGTACTTTTTGAAAAAAATTCACATTTGATATCAATAGAGGATGCATTATGCTTCATAAAATACTTCGATACATTCTTATTAAAACAAGCTTGAAACTTATTTATCATGAAGCTTAGCTAAGTTAAATTTCATCAACAGATTTATAAAACAGTAAGTATTCTTTTTATCCATTTTACAATGTAGTGAATTTAGTGAGGAAAAATCATGTTTATTAAAATGACTTTTATTATCCCACCATTTAAAATACTGTAAAATATGTTTATAACAAATAAATAAAAAAAAAGTATTAAGATATTTCTATATAAAAAAATATATATACTTCCTATTGAGAGGGTAATAACTGGTCAGACAATTTATTTCGTCTGATAATCTGTTTGACTTCACTTCATTTTATTAGAATATCAGCTAAATATTACTTATCAATGTTCCACTTCATCAGTATTAAATGTTGACATGCATATTTGATTACTTTGATTTTGTAATTCTGACCCATTAAAATATGAATGAAATTTGTCTTTTTAATTTCTGTCTTGATCAACACTCAATCCAGAAATCATCTAAGCTATGCTAGTTAAATAGCAAAACAGCCAGTGCTTTTATATAAAATTTAATGAAATAAATTTAATGATTTTGATTAACTGAAAATTAGTTAAACACAACCAATGAAGGGGAAAAAACAAACATAAAATATTTCCACTAATGAATAATGTACATTTAGAATTTTAAGCTTACCTCTGCATTTGGCAAATGACCAAAAATATTTGATACTTCCTCATAAGTCATGATGCTGTTTTCGAGTTCAATTAATTTAGCATTAGCGTCCTGAAAATGAAGAATGCAATGATGAAGATAACAAAAGTAAACAAAGGGGCAGTTAAAATGTAACATGTGAAACTATTAAATGGCGAAATATTTTTCAGTATTACAACATGGAACAATTATTGTATCTCTTTGTTCCAAAAAAAAGAAGAAAAAAGTATTCGAATAAACTAAAAAAGAGTTAGAATCCTTTTAAGGCACGTAAATAAATAAAAGGCTTGCACAGTAATGGTAGGCTACTTTATGATAAGAATAACATTTTTAGTGAAAAACATCACAATTAAAAAAAAAAAAAAAAAAAAAAAANAAAAAAAAAAAAAAAAAAAAAAAAAAAAAAAAAAAAAAAAACAAGAAAATTGTTAAAATAACTATCCAAAAAACAGTTTAAAGTATAACTATCACCTCTGGAATATATATATTTATTAACTGGGCATAAACTGCAAGTATATAGAGTCCATATCATAAGATAGAAACATTAAGAAAACAAGACAAGAAATCAAAGGAAAATTTTTTTAAAAATTTAAAAAACAAGAAAAATATAAAGCCAGGAAACAAAATAACAAAAAGATATAATCTCATACAATTATATTCACAAATTAGAGACCTTTTTTTACATTGTATTAATGTAACCAAAGCAAAAGATATCAATACAATAGTTTATTGTAATATGTACAATAGTAAAAATAAATAAATTTAAAAAAAAATTACCTCAATGACTTTAGGTGGGAAACCAGTAAGTTCAGCAACATGAACACCAAAGCTTTTTGTGCACACTCCTTCAAAAACAAAATAAAAAGGATAATGAAATATAACAATAAAAACAGCAATTCAAATTATAATTATATAAGTTATAAGACCAAAACACTGTTTTATTAAAAGTTTTTTTAAAACAGCTGCAGATGTAAAATCATTGGATAATCGCAACTAAAACTGAATTGAAAGTGATAAGTCACATATCTACAGCTAGCATTATTGAAAGCAATTCGAAATTTCAGATCAAAATTTTTGAAGAAAAAAAATTTATACATATAATTTTAGAATTGTCTTAGATTATGGTATTTTCAAAGCTGGAATAACAGTTACAGTTAAAAAAAATATTAAAAACAACTGAAATTTTTTTTTTGCAATTAAAATTAAGATTTTTTTATAAGAAGGCAATTTTATATATAAGATAGTACACTAGGGAACTGATTATCCGGAACGGTCGGGACCATCGCTATTCCGGATAACTAATTTTTCCGGTTATCTGAATCACTACAAAACGCCGTTTTTTTTTATTGTTAAACCCAACTAAAAAAAAAAAATTTTGAAAATAATCTCACAAATAAGAGAAAACGATGAAGTAATACACTAATGATTATTTCCAAAATGATGGTAAGGTAAACATCTTTGAAAAAAGAAAGAAAAATCGTAAAATCTTACGAGGAAAAATTTTTTTTTTTTTAAAAATGGCGAAAATTTTTTTTGAATTTTGTTCCAGTTTTCTGATTTCCGGATAACAGGTTCTGTACTGTATAATGAAAATCTAGCATTTTTGCCCTTCATTTCTATGAAATGAAAATTTTAACTTTCATTGAAGTAGGAAAAAAAAAGGAAATATCATTAAAAAAAATAGTGAAAGGTTTAAGCAAATAAAAAATTATTTTACTTTAGAAAAGATGTTATATGTTTCTTAAAGGAAAAAAAAAATTAGAGATGTGTCAAACTAACCTTCTTTCACTTGGTATAAGAAAGTTATTTCTTTCTCAGATTGTATAGCTTCAACATGTAAATTACCAATCACAGGAACAGTATCACTCAAACTCGTCAACTCATGAAAATGAGTAGCAAACAAACAGGGAGCTTTCAAACGAAAAGCAATTTCACTGGAAGAAAAAAAAGTTTTCTATATTTCACAATTTAGAACAGCAAAATTTATTCATATATAGTAACAGTACTAAAAAAAAAAAGGCGGAATAATGGAGATATAGATATTTCTCTTGTAAGAGAGCCTTTTGCCCGTAAGGGTAGAATTTTGGGCCTCAACGCAAGGGTTTTAAAATTTTTCGAGATACCCATAGTGACTTCTTAAATAGTGCGTAAAAAAAAAGCTCCGTAAGCTAAACAGGAATCGCTTGAGGAAGATCATTGGTCGTTTCACTGGTCACTGCACCCTCAAGAGACACCTCTACATTATGGATATTGCACCCAATCCTCTTTATCGTGGTTGTCATCTCGAGGAGGAGACTTCACAATATATTCTTCGCGAGTGTGAAGTCTTTTTGCTCTAAGATTTGAGCATCTGGGACAACATTGTGTTAAGGCCTGGGAATTACAGAATATTCCTGTTAGGTGTATGCTGAATTTTGTTTCAGTTATAAAGGTTTTCCACAACGCCATGATCTAGGGTTTGGGTATAACAGGTCTCTGGTTGATGCACATTGCTCCTCGTAGCTGCCCAACCACCAAGTCTAAGAGTATTAAAAGGCAGAAAATCGAAACATCTAAGAAAATGTAATTATTTGACAATTTAAAATAGGGATTCTTAAAGACTTCTGAGATTGGTTGCTAGTGCTTCACAGGGAAAAGAACTAAGAATTTTACTTTACATATTTTCAGCTTTAAACACACAAAATGAGTATAAATACATTCCAATTACTCTAGCGTTCAGTAAAAATATTTTTAAAAATAATCAGATTCACTATAACTCAGCAGTTAACAAAGTCAATGCTTATAAACACGTAAATATTTCGCTGGAATAGAAAAATTGCTACTTAATTTTTTAATCAAAATCAAGTAATTATACAGTGTTTGCAAGCAACATTGTAAGATACTATAGTGCATTGAAAAGTAATGTTGCATGAATACTGCACTTATAAGACTGACTTGGTTTATTTAAAAACTATAAAATGTTCCCATTTTATGTAATAAAAAGATTTGACATATTTTAAATTTTAGAATAAATTGTAAAATAATCACGAAGCTTATCTGGTCATATATTTCAGGTAATTTCTAAAAAAAGGAAAAGAACTTCCAATCTAATATACCAAAATGTCATAGCAAATATTTTTCAATTTCTTACCGGTGACATCCTAAATAAGGTGACTGCATTCAAGTACAACAGTTAGGTGGTTTACTTAGACAAGTTGTAAACTTAAAACAGGGTGGCTCTATTTGTTGATAAATTACTGCTTAATCTAAGGTTAACTTAAACAGGCGATCAATTGATAAAATGATTCAACAAATTCAATATTCAAATGCATAGTGAAATAAGGATTATAAGATTTTGTAGACATCATTAGTATGTTTGAACAAAGTTACAAAATAAAGGAAAATTGTGTAATCAGGAAAATTATTTAAAACTACAATATATATATACATATATAAATTTAAAATTTGGAGGAAAACTAAAGTAAAATATTTTAAGCTAATTTGAGATATTATCAACAAAAATATTACCACCAATATGAATTTAAATGTTTGTGAAAATAAATAAATAAATCAGAGTGGCCACTCACATCAGATATATTAACAACAATGTAAATAAAACTCATATTTAAGCAATATTTCCTTAAATGTAATAAGTTTCTAGTAATTCTGCTAAATTCTAGTTTAGCAGGGAAAGAATTTTAATGCAAGCAAAGTATTACTAAGTTGATAATATTTCAACAGTTTGACGATAAATTTCAGTCTAAATAAAGAATAAAGTGGATATAACGGATGGCAAAATAATTCAAATTAAGAAAAATTCCAACCTTTCTTTAAAATTCCCTGATTTTTCCAGGTTTTTATCCAAATTTCCCTGACTTTTCTAGTTTTTTTCCAGTATAAAAACAATTCCCTGATAATTCCAGGTTTTCAAGGTGGGTGGCCACCCTGTAAATGTATGCTTTATACTACCACTATCATTTAAATTATTGTTGCTTCTATCCATAAACCAATATTATTTATAATTTAATAACTTTTTTTTCTTCTTTTGCTCAATAATCTGGATTAAAGATAGCATCTAAAACCACTGCTTTTAAAGGTTAAAAATTACACAGAAAAAAAAAAAAAAAAGATTTCGGTAATTTACAGTAGCACATATATTCAACAAAAATTGCAAACAAGGCCATTTTAATAAGTCTAACTTTATATAAAAGTTAAATAATAGCAAAAGTAACAAAAGTAAATACATATGTTTAAAAATAAACAAAATGAGTAATAAAAATACCATGAAATAGAATGTGAAAGTCCATAACCATCAGCTGTTGATGTACCTCTTCCCAATTCATCAATGATGAGTAATGACCTGGAGGTACCATTCTGAAAAACATATTTTAATCAGAAAAAAAGATAATGGAATAAAACCATCAATAAATTCATAAAAAAAATTTTTAAAAAAATTTAAGATTTCATGCTTACAGTTTTTAGAATTGCTTTAAGAAATATACTATCAAACAAAACAATAATTATTTTCCATAAAACTTGGTATTCATTTCTCAACAGCAGAGAGGCGAGTAGAAGGTACGCCAGCCCAGGATGGGCCTTGGCCTTCTCAACAAGCCTATACCAAGACATTCTTCCCTTAGGTTCTCCAGTTTATTATCTTTAAAACTTGTAGGTCCTTTTCAAGGCAGTCTAAACATCTTAGGTTTGGACGTCCTCTTTTTCTTGTACCTGTTGGTCTGGCACTGAATACTTTTTTGGTTGTTCTACTATCCTCCATTCTTATGTGGCCTGCCCATTTAATCCTTAGAATTTTGATAAATTTAATGACATCAGGTTCTTTATATGCTTTGTAAAGTTCCGCGTTTGATCTTCTAAACCAGGTACTGTTTTTACTTATTCCATCAAAAATGCTTTGCAGTATTTTTCTCTCAAATCTAGCTATCATATTTTCATCTCCAAGAGTCATTGTCCAGGTATCACATGTGTATATAAGCACTGATCGTATAAGGCATTTATAAAGTAACACTTTTGTTTTTCTTTTTATTAGGCTTGACTTAAGATATTTTCTTAGAGCATGAAAACACTTATTGGCCATCGTGATTCTCGCGTGTATTTCTTGTGTAGTGTCATTTTTGTCGTTAATCTTAGACCCCAAATAGGTGAAGCTATCAATGGCTTCAAATTTGTATGATGTAGAACATGTGGTTACATAATCAGACACTACTATAAATATTTTTGTAACACAATTTTAAAAAAATTTCAAATTAATAAAAATTTATTTACTAAGCAAAATATTTTAAAATAGCTTATAAAGGAAAATCAGATAACTTAAATGAATAGACAAGTAAATCAGCTAGTTTTTTTTCTTCAGAAAATCTTTAAGGAAAAATTAAAAATAAATAATAAACAAAACATTTGCTAGAGAAGACTTCTTTTGAGAAAGTTAAACCCTATAAATAATTAACATATATTATATGATTTTAACAACAGAGACAGAGCAAGAAATTTTCATAAGTTCAAACTACAAGAGCTACTACAAACTTTATTTATATGGAAGAAAACGACTTTAACCTCATTGATGCCACTTAGCTAACATGATTATTTTGTCAATGCAATTATTAAAGTAGCTATAGAAGCCAACATTTCTAATATTATTATTTTTTTTAAAGCATTTTTTATTACCAGTTTTAAAAGCTATTTTTATCATTTAGCTGGATCTGCTAATTAGAAAAATTACTCAGCAGTAGAAAATACTGAAGGCATATAACAAATTTGCTCCCATCTGTCAATATTTTATGTGATAGATGTTTAGTTACTTCAAAAATTACAATAAAAAGATAAAATAGAATGTCCATCCAATCTAAGGGCTCTGAAAATTATCAAAACCTCTGCAAATTATATTTTCACTCAGATTTAAAAATTGAGCTTAAAATATTACTGAAAAATCATTTTTAATTCCTAAACTTACTAAATTATTTGTTTAAGGGGCTTAATAAAATTTGTTTGCCAATCTGTAGACATATAAGCAGATGGGAAAAAAAGACTTTTGAAAATAAACTCCAAATAAAGTTCTTTAATTAACTAAGAAATCTAGGTCATCCTTTCATTCCTTGACCCACTGGCCAACCATCTTAAAAATCTATCCCCTAAATGTAGCTGTTGGTGGGGACAAAAAAATTATTAGACCCCTATATAGAAAAAACATATTTGATCACAAAGATATTTGGTCACAAAAATCACTGTTGACATTCTTTACTGGCAACACTGTAAAATGACTAAGTTAAATAAAAATTAAAACACTTAAGCACATATTGATAAAAAATATTTAAATTCAAATAAGTTATAGTGACCATGTCACTACAACTACTACTTTTCAAAATAAAAAGTGTAAAAAGAACTAAGATTACTTAAGATTATTAATTGGCGAAATTCAAAACTTAGCTCCACTTTACTGTAAGTACAATTTACAACAGAAAATTATGACAAATGAAATACAACTTACTTTTAACATTCGTTGCATTTCTAGCATTTCATGCATAAATGTTGAAATTCCACTAGTAGGATTATCAGAAGCTCCTATTCGAGTATAAATGGCATCCGTAAGAGAAACTTCTGCTGATGAACAAGGAACAAAGGACCCGATTTGAGCTAAAAGCACATTTATTGCCACCTGTAATGTAAAAGGAGATCAGAAAAATTTTAAAATATAATCGTGAATCTAAAATAAAGGTCGTGGGTTCGATCCTCGCCGTCCGAAGACTCCCCGTGTAGTAAATGGTGACTGATGCACGTTAAATTTGTCGAGTCTCAAAGTCCTCCATGTTCCCACAACAAAGCAATACCTCTGGGGGTACTGATCCAGGAGTTTCCTTGTCTTCTGGATTGGGTCAAAATTACAAGGCTACGGAGTTGAACGTTAGTAGTCGTAAACCCATGAAATTGGGTCTGCTGTTCAACGACGGTTATAAAATAAAAATAAAATCAAAAAATTGCATGAGATCTGAAGGTTTTAAAACATTGTTTCAAAGAAATATTATTTTAGTTCATAATTCATATAATTTGGAGTGAACAAAATAAAAAATAGAAGATCTTAATAACTTTTGATCTTATAATCAGATTTTCATTCATTAGTACTTAAATACTAAGATTAGATTTCAAGTACAGTACAGAACCCGTTATCCGGAAATCAGAAAACCGGAACAAAATTCGATAAATTTTCCCGACATTTAAAAAAAATTTTTTTTTTTCCTCATAAGATTTTAGGATTTTTCTTCCTTTTTTGAAAGATGTTTACCTTATCATCATTTTGGAAATAATCATAAGTATATTAGTTCATCGTTTTTTTCTCTTTAAGACTATTTCCAAAATGTTTTTTTTAGTTGGGTTTAACAATAAAAAGAAACGGCTTCTTGTAGCGATTCAGAAAACCGGAAAAATCAGTTATCCGGAATAGCGATGGTCCCTATCGTTCCGAATAATCGGTTCCCTACTGTACTAAGTTAATACAGTCAAATCCCATTATAGTGAACACCCGGATATAGTGAACAAAATGTTCGGTTCCGTGCTTTTGCTATACATGGATAATGTTATTTTTTGTGGATATAGTGAACCAAAAAACTGAAGAAATTGGATATAATGAACTTTTTTCTGTCTTCAACTAATTTTTTTTGTAATAATTTTGAAATTTCTACTTCAAAAAAAATACATATACCGATTTTCCAAACCATCTATATAGTGCATTTCATCTTGTTTGCTTCTTTTATCTCACTTTCCCATCCCTAAACAAACAAAGCAGATGTTTCCAACCCAGGTGAGATCAATATGCATTTTCTGTCACACGGAATGAGCAATTATTCATTATTGGTCAAAGGGTTGGACACTAATGTGTGTTGATAAGGCCCTCATTTCAACTTCTTTTTGCTCTCAGTTCAGTTTAAAAAATCATGCAAACAAGTGTCTCAAATTTAACTATGACGAACAGTAATCATAAAGCGTTCTCCATTGATGATAAAATGGGCATAATCAGAAAAATTAAAAATGGATGCAATCAAGCTGATATTTGCAGGGAATATAAACTATCCAAATCTGCTGTTTGTAACATATGGAAAAAATAGGCAATTAATAATTTCTGCTCATGAAAAAAAATTTAGATGGCAGAAAAAAGTTGAGAAAAGCAGACCACAAGGATGTTGAAGAAGCATTACTGAAGAGGTTCACCAATCGAAGTATCTGGAGAAATGTCGATGCATTTGCGAAGTGATTTCATGAGACTACTTTTGTGTGCTCGAATAGCAGGTTAGACAGGTTTAAAAAGCGGAACGACAGAAATTCAGGAGAAATTATCCGAGAGTCGGGAATTTTTTCGATATCTGATGTTGAGGATTGCTCATCAGCTACAGATTACTAATTTATTTGTATGCAAGACGAAGAGTAATGAAAAATAACACATTTTTTGCTACTACATAATTTTATTTGAATAATGTGCAATAAAAGGGAGGAGTTTGGGAACCATTAGGTAAATTACCTGCGTAACGGATATAGTGAACTCCCGGTTATAGTGAACAGAAATTTCGGTCCCTTGAAGGTTCACTATAGCGAGGTTTGACTGTAGTTCAAGAACCTAACCTTAAATATGCTAATTATCTTTTAACTGCTCTTCTGCTTACATTAAGAGACATATTTCTACCCCACACATTCTTAGGGTCAAAAATATAAATCAAGAGAAAAAGGAATTTTTATTTAGAGAAAGTATGTTTTTGAATCTGATTTTGTAAAATAAAAAATTGTCTGCAATTAAACTTCCTATGTCTACTGCTTTAAAACGTTAAGTTTGGATAGGAGCTCGTAAAAATCTTATAACATATAAATATATATAAACCTCATTTTATATATAAATCTTATAATAAGAACAAATTTTCTTAAAGTGTTCTATTTTTTATTAATAATTACAAATTTATTATTAATAAACCTTAATAGTTACGGTTAGTAATAGCAAATTAACTTTTTTATTTAGTACTAAGTACCTTTAAATCATTAAAATTTATAAATGATAAAAAAACAAGTTTCAGTCAAACACAAAACCTTTTTTTTAAGCAACTGATAATCCAAATAATAATTAAATAATTTTAAGATAATGTTAATTTAAAAATAACTAATAATAGATAACATTTGTCATTCAAACTATACACATCAATATCAAATTGCAAAAAAAAATTAAAATGTGGAAAAGAAAAAAAACTCTAATTCAATTAGTAATTAAATACTTACAGATCTAATATAAGTTGATTTTCCTCCCATATTTGGTCCAGAAACAAAATAAAAGTTCTTTCCTAATTTGAAAAAAAATATATATATTATCTTTTATAGTAAAATTCATATTTTATAATACTAAATATAAATCTAAAATTATTATTTTTATAAGTTTCTTAGGTATACACAAAATCATGTAACATCTTGAGAATTTTAGAATAATTACAATATGCAGTCACAAATGATAAGTTTCTTTAATCAATACAAAGAATAGACTTAAATACAATAACTTTACAATATTAGAAATTTTCTATTTTTTCCATCAACAATTAATTAAAACATACTTATAACTGCTTATAATTAATTCTGTTATCTTGAGACGTGATTATCAGCAATTAATGCACTGAACTGTCATTGTGAAGAGCTAGTGTCCAATCCCTGGTGGCCACTTGATGCACACCAAGCTTTAGAATGTTGGGTACCAGCTTGTCTAGGAAGTAGAGGGGGGCTGGTGTTTAATGTTGACCACATTGGCTGGTGTTTAATGTTAACCATCACGGCATTGTTCACAAAATTGTGGAGCCTTAACTTCCCTGACTCTTTAGCCTACAATGGGCTGTTGTGGAAAAGTTTTACTTTTTTATACATTTATTTTGTTTAACAATTTGAACAGTTTTAATTAGAGGATATTTGACACAAAATAGTTAATGAGTAATTTATTTTCTTATCTAAAACTTTCCTTATTTTTCTAAAAATAATACGATACAAATGTTTTTAGAGCTGACAACTTACACTAAGAAGATGCCTGTAGACAGTTGAATTTAAATTTTAAATAAAAAATTTGGTTAAGATAAGTTTTTATTACCACAAAAAAGTTAATTTTATTCATTTTTAAAAAAAAATTATTTTATTATTTTTGCCTTACTTTTACATTTTTTTTTAAAAAAGCGAAAAATGTTTTAAGAAACAATTAATTAGGAAATTACCTTGAGCAGACAATTCAACAGAGTTAGGAATAAAATTTTGTAATTTTTCTTCTAGAACAGGATGACGCATATCTTTTAAACACAAGTAAAAATAATCTGCAAATATACAATAAAACATTTGTTATAATCAGTAAAAATCATATAGTACAGGATCTTTTAAAAATGATAAAAAAAATTAAGATAATAAAAAGAAAAAAAAATCTTAAACAATATTAATATTAATTTTTTATTTTTTGATTGAATAGAAAATGGAGATCAAGTTCTATTTAACTCTAACTTTAGGATTAATGGAATGTTTAGCAACTATTTCTTAATTTACAAAAATTTATATTTAATTAACTTTTTCAAAGTTTTAATATTATAATGCATTGTAACCTAACTATAATATGCAAGTAAGGAAAAATATCACCATTCATCTTATTAAATACATAGTACCACTATCTTATTAAATACATAGTTGATTGATAGAAAATCTATTTCGAGTTTCGGGATATGCGTATATCTCTACCATTTGATGCCCTGGTCAGTAAGAAAACAATTAATATGAGCTTCTATATTTATTAACAAACGTAACAATGAAACAAATAATAATTAGACTGAAACAAAACAAAAAAAATATAAGAAATAGGAGCTTTCAAGAAATGCTCCTTCAGGCATGAGTGCATCGAGAACAACTGAAATAAAATATAATTTGATTGGCGACGAATTGACGCCGCCAAAAAGAATTAATTCGTAACATTGATTACTATATAAGTAACAAATATCTTTTGAAATAAAAAGTTTTTTTCATTACTTAAGGAATTTTATTATAACAAGCAATTAGCAATGAACACTTTTTATAAAGGATAATCAAGTACAATAGAGCAATTTAATACATTTACAAGTCTTGAGCCCCTGAGTCTTGTTTCATTGATATCTACATGGATTCTTTAACAAAAAATTTTAGTTCTGCTCCATCCAAGCAATGCAAATTGATATGTATACTGTCCTGATTGACAGTCCTTTAGCCACTACAATGGCATGGATATCTTCAGCTTTTTTTTCCTTACATATTTTTTTCCTTCCATTTATATATTGGAAATCAAATAATTCCTTTTTTTAACTTGTTTCTTTTCCATATCTACATGTTGTCATCCAGACAACTTAAAATCCTTGATACATATTCCATTTCAATTCAAAGAACTTAAAAAAAAAACCCAGTGATGTCATAAATATCATAAGCAATGTTATATCATTCAAAAAAATTCATAATTTTAATCCATTTTATGGTAAATAAAAATGTTTAAAATTAGGATATTTGTATTTAAAATTAAATTGAGATTGCGGCAATCCGATGACCACAATATGAAAACATAGGCTAACATAATACGAAAGAATAACCATCATAAACTAGGATAAATCAGCCGGGTGCCGAGCGCTTAAACCCCAATGGGCAAACGAGGTTTGAATCCCAGCAATGGTTTGTCAATTTCTATACAGCTACTAGCTTGTACTAAGCACAATGCTGACAAAAAATTATCCTTAGAATATCTTTCTCAACAGAAAAACTATGGGAGATGTTCCTCTCCAAGTAATTCAATAATTTAGGTCAGTTATAACAAAAAGTCCACAACAAAGGAAAGCTTGATCCAAGAGTTTCCTAATATTCTGAGTTGTTATAGCCACAAATTTGACGTAAGTCAACTATTTTGTGTCAAGAATACAATAGTATAACTAGAATTGCACTTTTTAAAGGAATATTGTGTCGAAATACAATGATTGGTATGATCACACAACTTATTCCTAAATATTATGAATTCCACTACAACTGCAAAATATTTCACAAAAAAACAAAAAAAAAGTTTTGAGACTAAGAAAAAAAAACAGCAAACCTTTTTCAGTTATAATTGGGCGCACATAAGTGTTGCAGGCATTCGCCGCTTTATGTGCAAGAGCAACTGTTACATCAAGCCAGGATAAGGTACCACTCAATTCCTTAAGGTGAGGCGTGTAAGGAACTGAAACAGGTGAATATATAAAAAATAATATTATAAATTTATATTTAAATAAACAAGGAATTAAAAAAACATATTATTAAAAAAATTTGGAACAGTTATACAGGAAATACATCGATTTACTTATAAGTCACAAATATAGTGAGAGTAACTTACATAACAATGTTTATTTATCTGTTCACCTATTTCAACATATATTTTTTAAAGGTTTGCCACAATTTACTGCTTTGATTCGTGTGAAAATGCATATTTCCCTACCAAAAATTCTTAATTGAGCACAAAGTTAAAGCTGATAACTTATAAGTTGTGAGAAGCTTCATTAAAATGTTATATTTTGATAAGAGGTAGATTATTTATTTTTCGGAACATAGCAAGACGAATAATAAAGATAGATGGGGCATACAGCCGTTTCAAAACTATGAAAAAGACTCCCTTTCAGTGTTAAGGTAAAGAATGAACAGTGATTGCTATTCAAATGTATTAATTTTCTCTAATAAGAAGTGGTAAAATAAAATAAACTAAGTAAAAGAAATATTTTGAAAGAATTTAGAACAATTATATATTGATACAATTGGTAAGTAATTATTGTCTTACTTTTTTTTTTAAAGAGTGTACACAGAAAAATAGATAAAAATTGGAGAAAAAAAACTGTTCTCTATATTGTAGTAAAAAATTACTTCAATTTCTTACATAGTTTTATTAATTGCTGAATAGTTAAATAATATAATTTAATAGCTTAAGTAATAGTTAAACATTATGTAATTAATTTTCAAATAACATGGCGTAAATTTTATTTAGAATACGTTTTTTTTTTCAGTAACCTACTAATAGATGAAAATGTAAAAATCAAATAATTTAAAAATACTGCTGAATGGTACTTATCAAAGAGCAATAATTACCAGCAATTGCTATCATTTCAATAACAATTTTCTTCTGAATTTCCTCATAATCTCTCTTCAATGTTGCATAATTATCACTCATTCTTAGTAAAGCAGGACTCTGAAATTTTACTCCACTGTTTCCTGTGGTAAGTATAGTGTATTGCTTTTTATTCCTCAAATTGCTTTCTTCCTGCAGAAAATTATACATTTTACAAATAAGTTTGCATTTTTCAAACATTGTGCTATTTTAAAAATTATACAAGATTAATTAAAATTATCAAATCTAGTCTCAAAATAACACCAAAAAGAAGTAGAATACATGAGCCTGAATCAAATATTTATATTTTTATGTACCAATATACAATCTTAAGGGATACCTTAAATATTCTGTCTAATAAGTATAAGCAATATTTTTATAAAATAAAATTTACGTCAAGACGTCTTTCATGAATCTATTCAGGAGTCAGGTTTCATTGCAACTGAGAATTCTTATTCCCATTGCAGGACTTAAAAATTACCCTTGGAGCAGTCAAAATGATCTATCCCCTCCCAATTGCCTGATAAAGGTTACGTCCACTTTTTGAGGTGAAAAAAAATGTATCTTTAAAGCCTTTAGTCTTCAAAGATTTAAAGTCTTTCAAAAATCAATTTAGGAGTCAGGCTTTATTGCAATTGATAATTCTTATTCACACTGCAAGACTCAAAAATTAATAGTGGTCAAGAACCTCTAATTAGGACTACCATCAAATAATTATTGATCCCTCAGACCAGAAACCAATTACCTATGATTATAAAGGAATAATGATATACCGTTTTAGGTTTTAGATTTTTTGGCTTTGTGGTTTAGTCACTACATAGATGTGAATTACTCATGCTCTATAATTTTTAATTTTTTTATTAATATTTAATATAAAATCTCCTTATGGTACATATATAAATTCAAATTTTATAAAAAAAAATTCCATTTAAATAGTTTATTTTTTCATCTTTACAAAATGATAATAATTTATTTGTATGAAGTTTCAATTGCAACTTTTCTTAGTTTACAAAATTTTTTATATAGTATTTGTTATATTTATACATTTAAAGTTTAAAAGAGGCAAATGAATAGACTATTGAAAATGTGTATGGACTAACATAATATTTTAGTTTGGTGTCCTTTGTAACCAGTGGCTTAATTTCTTTAATATCTATCGCTGCAAAATATAATTAAAATGCTCTAAATCAGAACAATTAATTTTTTTAAATTCTTACTTTCAAGGTGATTCTATAAGCATAACCATTCCTTTCATACAGTTCTAATTTTACAGTTGAAAGACCTAGATCAGTTTTTGTCTACAAAACAATAAAAATAATTAGTAACCAATCTTAAGCTAAAACATTCATATATATTTATAGAAACATATATTTACTAAGAATGAAATCATAATCATTAAGTGAAAATGAAAATACCTTTTCTAAATCAGCTTTCATAGACTTTTGTAAATTCTCCATTTCTTCCCTCATTTCTAAAAATAAATAAAAGTTTTTTGTAGTGCAACAACTACATTTAATGTATTAAAAAACGAAAATATAAGAAATCAATAAAAGCTGTCTGCTTGAACAAAATCAGCAACAAATGATTGAAAAAATTAACAAATAAAACATACGGAATGAAAAAGACATATTGAAAATTTACAGTCGATAAGAAACTACCTGCTATCATGAAATTTACTTTGTTAAATTAGCTTTATAAAGTGCAGTTTATTCTTGTTTTGCTTCAATCTTTGCCAACATACTTAAATCTATTTACAGAAAACATATTTCTAAAACAATTTACTTGTTATTGAAGTACAAAAAAAAAAAATCTTGAAAATAAAATTAATTTAAATAAATATATTATCTGAAAGGATTCATCAGACAACAAAAGAGAGATAACAATGAAATACGTGCATACTTTTTTTTTTGCAGTTATTTATGAGAGACTAAAAATAACTAACCAACAGGTAGCTCAGACTAGAAAATATTTGTGGTCAGTTGACTTTAGGTATATAATGATATGAAATTATACTGTTTTCTTAACATTGAAAACATTTTTTATAACACAATATTTACTGAGAAATGCTAAATAATCTTTTTCCATAAAAACATTTTTAAATTTTTAAAAATACAAATGCATTAATGAAACAAAAACAATTATTGCAGAAATCTATTAAACAATGTATTTTTTTTAATTTATTTTTTATGTCCAATGGCACATTAAAAAACAATTGAGTAACAAAAAGATAACAATAAATCTATAATTGAAAACAAGTAGTCCAGGAGCATTCCCAGATTGAAGTCCGAGAAAAAAAAAGGGCATCTAAACAGGTGAGACAAGTCCATCTGCTCATGGAGATCACACAAGGTACAAAAGGATCAGGTACCACGTTGATGAGACATAGATATTTATTCAGGCACTCCTGTCTAGATATCAGACGAAACATGGCAGCAGATTTCATCCTAAGTCACTGAGGGACATTGAGAATCTGGTTAAGCCATGGTTTACGGGAATTGTGGTTTTGAGTTCTTCACAGACAGACACTGGAGGGCAGAGGTTCCCTATTTTGCTAGGAAATTAACCGTCTCATTCCCTTGGATCGCACAGTGGGCCGGAATCCATTGGTAATGAGTCAAAGTAAAATATCAAACAATGTAAGTTGGATCAAAATTGAGTATCAGAAAATTTCCTTCAGAATCTGTACCAATGTTTCCCTCAAAAAATTATGTTCCAGGCAACTCCAACTCGTTTTCCTGATTTGGAGTTATTCCATTTTTCTATAATCACTTTTTTTTTAAAAAAAGAAGAAAGGAAATGTATAAACTCTCATATATATATAATGACAGAAAGAATACGAAAAAAAAAGAACACTTTTGGGGTAACAAATTTAGGGTGATAAATTGTTATTAATACAAAATTTATAGCCTAATTTTAATTTATTTCTTAAAGAAAACGTGAATGCTAACTTTTCCTAAACTTAACATCAATAATTTATTAATACATATTATTCATTTAAAAAATAATATTTAATTTTTATGCAAAATAAGATATAAACTCTTAGAAAAATTTTAATTCACTAACCTTTAAGATTTTCATCAAAATCTGGCTTAATAACATATTCTCTATTTTCAACAGCATCAAAATCGATCATATCGTCAATCATTTCTCGCAGTTTGTCTAATTCTTCGATTTTTTCCTATTAAAAAAATTATTAAAAAAAAAATTTACAAAAGAATTTTATTTTCTATTTTAATATATTGTGGTAAACAGAAAGGAATATGCAAAAAAAGAAAAAAAAATTATTTTTTGGAAAGTTATGTTTTTTTTTATCATCTATTAAAAAATTACACTGCTTCAACATTTTATAAAAATATAAAAGTGATGTAAATTTTAAAAAGTTATGTAAATTTTAAAAAGTTAAGTAAATTTTAAGTTAAAACAGTAATATAATGTATTTGAATGAAAAAGCTGAATAATTAACTCTTAACAACGAAACTTAAAGCAGTGTTACTTTGTAAGTAATTATTCAACTCATAGACTACGACTTGAAAACGTTCTTATTTTTATATTTCTTTTATTTATGTCAAAATTAATAATAAGTGTACTTCATAAATACGCTCTTAAATCTTTATTAAAATAAAGATAAGTATAAAATTTAATGATTAAAATCTTTTAAAACCTTAAAGTGCTACTGCTTCATAAAATTCACAATAGATTTGATTGATAGATTGAATTTGATAAACTTTCATAAATGAAAATGTAGCAGCATTTTCATTTATGAAGCATTTTTCTTCAGAGTAATAAAAAGCACCTTGCAACGAGCTTAACTTTAACCAAAATTGCTCAAGCCACCCCATGAACTCATCAGTTCGCAGAATGACACCATAATAATGAGACACTTAGTTTTTCTCTCCCATCTTTAATTTCTATTTCTTTTGTTCATAAGAATGGGACAATTAGTTTGTCTCCCCATCTATAATTTCATTTCTTTTAAATATCCCACTTGTGTTATTTTATTTAGTTAAATTTTAATTACATACTGTTGTTCACTAAATAAAGTTGTCACTTTAATGCAGTAGAACTGTTTCTGTTTATTTCTTTTTTTTGTGCCGAGAAGAAAAAAACTTTACTTCACAAAGCAGGCAAAACTTCAAAAAAAAAAAAAAAAAATTTATAAACATAAGAAAACACCACAAAAGCATTTTCCAATATAAGTTCTAAAAGTTTCACATAGATATTATTTTTTAAAAACACAAAAGAACCTAATCAAAATAAGTACAACTCCTAGTTTAAAGAATATTATAAGAAGTAAAGCATAAATATCAGTATTTGATAACCACCAATGCAAAAGTTACTAATATGAGCTGGAATTGATTATACTGTGTCAAAAATGGATGATATTACATAGTCACACATCATTACAATTAAACGTTATTTTAAACTAAATCTAATGGGGAGGGGGTGAGATCTTTAAGGAGCAAGAAAGCTCCTGTTTACGAGGAAGATAAACTTCCCTCCAATGAAATTACACAATATTCAATTATTTTTTCATAAAAAAAAAATTTAATCTACCTTAAAATATTAAAATTTGAAGCAATATGAGCTTCAAGAGTGGATATAACATTAAAACCCTTTTTTAAGTACATTTATTAATGGGCAAATTATTTAAACTCACTTTCAATGGGACATTTATGAGATGTTCCAAGACTGCTTTTTTGTCACCATCATATTGAGAAAGGTATTTTGACAGATTTGGAATTTTTGTTAGTACCGTATGAATCTTGTAAAAATCCTGAAATGAAAGTAAAACATCATTTTTATTCATTTCAAGTCAACTAAGTGATAGAAAGCAGTTTACATAAGTTCATAATGCAGCAAATATCATACATAATAAAGCCAGTTACACAAATTAGATTCAACAGATTCTTTTTTTAAAAAAAAATGGGTTATTTTAATAAACTGACCTGTAAGTTGATTACTCTTCGGTGAATTTTTCTTGCAAGGAGCTCAATATCTACAAACTTCTCAAGAAAGTGTTGGACTTCGATCATAAATGTTCTGTCTTGAACAAATATATCAACTAAATCCAAACGTTCCTCTAAAAATAAACCAAATTATAATTATTTTCATTAATTCACTTCCTAACTAATTTTGAAAAGATACTTTTATGTAACAAAACAAGGCTTAATTTCTTCTCTACATTTTAAATGATAGTAAATCATTGTAAAAATTAATCATTCCAAAAAGAACATTAAAGAAATCAAAATTTCTCACTATTTAAAATCACATGATTTCTGAACTAAACAGTACACCAATTTATTATGCGTATACAGTGTTAATTGATAACATGGAAGTGAAAATGGCAATTTTCGAAGATTTCATTAGAAATATATTTTTTAGCTGTCACAATAAGTTTTTTTTGTCACTACACAACTTGATAATTCAAAGTGAATAAAACAAATAATTAAACTAAATTTAACTATAAGACTTGACAGTGATTCGGACTTAATAAAGCAACTTTTAAGGAAATTAAATATTCACAAAACATTAGATTATTATTGATGCTGATGCTTTTTAATTAGATAATGCTCCAATGCTGGTGAAATCTAATAAAACACAAGTATAGCAATTATTGTTTAACTTATTTTAATAAACTTATGTTCGAAAGCAATTTCTGAAAAGTGTTTTTATGTGGGTGAAAGTGAAAAATAATATTTTACAGTTGTGCAACAAGTATACCTATTTTAATCTTGTCTACTAAAGGCTGCTTTATCCATTGCATTAATAATCTTTCACCGGCACTTGTTCGACAAGAGTTTAAAAACCCGTATAGATAATCTTTTTCATCCACATCTACAACAAATATTTGAAGAAAATTAGTCAAGCAATTCCTGGAATAAATATGTTAAAGAGGGATGCATAAAAGTATAATGTATATCTCGGTGTATAAGAAAACCACTAAGAAAACCAAATATAAATATTGCACAGACATTAAAAATATATAAAAATTAATAAGTCTACTAAGTTCAAAATATTGAAATACTCTTAATTAATTTTTTTTACATGTAAAAACCTTTAATGGTTAAAAAATTATGATGAGTGAAAATACAAAATTAATTGTATATAACATATTAAATATAGTTTATGAAAGAGGTAAATTAATATAGAGTCATTCATATCTGATTCATTGTTTAAAATGCATTGATATTTCATAGTATGCAAAGATATGGACCACTTTATTACTGGTATATATGTTGAATCTCGGATTTTCCTGACATTTTAGGGGTTTGAAAAAATGACTTATACACCAGGATATATGGTAATTTAATTATAACAATAATAGAATTAAATAAATTAATTTTATTTGACAAGTACATTACTTTAAAAATAAAATTAGTTGAGAATCAATATAAACTGAGCTATTTTAATCTGTATTAACAAAACTTTACAATGATAAAGAGTTTGATATTCAGAATACGGCATGATACAAATGTAAATCAGAAAATTAAGTTAAAAAGTCAAATAAACTAAAAGATAAAAAAATAATGATTAAAATTAATATATTTCAAACATAATATTATAGAAACATATTTATAAAACATAAATGTCTAATTATAAATATGTCTAACTGTTAAACTCTCAACCAACAGTGAACATAAAAACAATGATTTATATTTCTATTTACAGTTCTTTTCAATTAATTAAACAAACAAAATAAAAATAAATTTTATAATATTTTTATAGGAATAAAAATTTAATAGATAATAAATAATTAAAGCAAACTTTAAACTATTATTACTAGAATCAGAATGTTAATAAAATTACCAGAATCTTTTTCAGCAAACAAACCAAGACCAACTGAACAAGCTTTATCAATTCTAGCATAAAGCTGTGTGTTGAATTCAATTAGTTGAAACTGCTCAAAATTATTTTCATCTGATAATAACTAAAACAAATTGGAAAATTATTGAAGATACAGCAATTTCTTATCATTTTAAAAATATAATCAATATCATCCCTTAACTAAAATAACTTTTTTAAAAAGGAAATTGATATAATAAACAAAATTCAATGTCCCAATACCTCTAAATATCTTATTGCAGCAGCAAGACTGCAGCCTTTATTTGACGACTGCCACTCTAGTAGAAAAAAAAGAAGGGAAAACATTAAAAATGATAAATTATTTACAAACAAATTTATGTAGAAAACATATAAATTTAAATGTAAACGTAAAATACTATACTTATATAAAAGACTTAAAAATTATAAGTTAAAATTATTTCATAATTATTTATAAAAGTCAAAATATGTTTTATAAAATTTCAGAACACAGAATATGAATCTACTACATTTCAAGATATAAGAAAGTAAACAATTAATAATAATTTATATTCACAAATAATTTAAGTCAAAAATAGAGTTTTTCAAGGTTAAAAGTTAAAACATTAGAGAATTTTTCATTTAAAATTATCTATTAGTGTCTTTAATATGAATAAATAAATTGAACATATTACCTTCAAAATTATATTCAAGATCTGATGAAGATATAAATAATCGAAGAACATCTGCAGTATTTAAAGGTTCAAAGACATCTAAAAATAGAAAACACTGAATTAATACATGTCAATGGTATTACAAAAATCTAAAAAAATGATACACCTATCTAAAGAGAATAATATCACATATATATCCAAAGAAAAAATGTATAGTGAAGAAAACTATTGATAGTTTATCTTTTTGATAAGTTAGAATGAAATCCCATCCATATCCCATTAGCATGAATCATACCATTAGTATGAAATCATAATTTACTTTCCTATTGAACAACACGAGAAGAATACAGTTTGATATGCACGAAAACAATCAAGTTAAATGATCAGGAGTTTTAACCCTTCAAGAGCTGAGCCCCTGCACAAAATTGTACAGAAACTACACACTGTACACACTCCTCTCTCATTGAACAATCAGTTTTTGGAATCAGGAAAGCCTGCAGCTAAAAGTTCGGAAAGCCGGGACAGATATACGGTTAATAAGAAACTCAGAATGCTACATTTTTAAAAAAATAATATTAAAAAATCAATTAAATCTTTATCAGCTTTACAACAATGTAAATCCAAACCTCTAGCTCAGCGGTTCCTAATTTTTTTTTCCAGCTAAGGAATTTTAAATGATCAACCTACTTATAATGGAACCCTAGGACTTAATGAATGAAGTTCATTAGCAATTGTGAACATATTAACAAAATAAAGTCAATTATTTATTTTAAAAACATTCAACGAGGAGAAACATTTTTCACAATTAAATTTTATCAATACTTTTTTTAAAAGTAGGTTTTATCTCTAAAACTTCAATTCACAGGTCTGGAGCAGCATTCCAATCGAGTTTCGATTTCAATTAAAATTAAAACAGAAAAGGATGAAAATAAACATTAAAATGGCTATCAGAAGAACACACTTCTTTATTTTTGAATCTGGTTGTTTCATTTTATATTGAAAGATTTAGTGAAAAATACTAATGCAAAATATTATGGATGCATATTCTTCTTATTATTAACTAAATATATTACTACTAGAAAAAAAAATATATTTAATTTTGAATTTACTTTCTTTCACTGTCATTTTACCTAAAAAAAATGTCATTAAAATAACAGAAATATTAGAAAATAACAGAATAAATTGGCTGGTTAGAAATTTAATTATAGATTTGGAATATCATAAAAATGTAACAAATCCACTGAACCCTAGGCTAAAAAAGCACACATTTTGAAAACCGCTGCTCTAACTCATAAAAATATCCCCTATATACAGTTTTTGTAATAATAATGTAACTGTTATTACAATTGTTATAATTCTGTAACTGAAATCTGAATTTTTAACCCAAGAGGTACTGAAATTTTGAATTAAGGAAGAAAACTTAACTTTGCCTAATTTTGGATATACACAGTAAATATTAATTTAATTATTTTTTAATGTCAGGGCAAGAAATGGACAAAATGTATCAAATTACAAAAAAGAAGGAAGGGGGGAATGAAATGAATAAAAATGAAATCTAATTACCTGACTTTTTCTGAGTCACAGCAATTTTATGTGTCTCAATGATAGATTTCAAAGTACCTGGGGCTGTTTCGCTTTGTTTAGCTGATAGTGGTAGGACACATTCTTGAGGACTTAACTGTACTAATACTGACTGAAATATTAAAATCATATTTTTAAAACAAATTTTCTAAATGTTTATTAATGATACAAAAGAAAAAAATATATAAAAATCTTAATTTACCTTGCTGCATACATATTAACAATTTCTAATACAATATCTTGTAATTTTTTTGCGAAATACTCATGCAAAAGTATACACTTAAATAGTAGTATTTCTATTCTGTTCTCTCTCAATTGATTACATATCAGTATCAAATGTCAAAGTAATTGAAAATTGATATTTCTTCTCTTTTGCTTATTTTTTTAAAAAATAAAACAAAGGTTTTAAGAGAAAGAATGCAAAAAATCATCAATGAAATTTAATTAAATAGACAGTTTACAATCAAATAGATCTAAATTTTTTTTTTCATTATTACTGAAAATGAAATATTGTAAACACACGCTGATAATTTTTATTTATTTTTTAGTATTTTCATCAATAACACTATCAAACAGTATCAGGAAAACACTAGTAAAAAAATTCCGATCACTAAATTTCATAAAATTTAAAAGCATCAAATAATCTGTCACCTGTTTTTTATTTTCAAAATCTTAAGACTAAGATAAGAAAAAATAAATAAATACCTGTAAAATAGAAAAATCTGGAGTATCTTGAAATTCACAAACATGAAATTCTCTAAGGACAGGATCACAGTATGCAATTCCAACAAGCTAAATATAAATATTAGTTAATTCTTAATTAATGTAACATAAATTTTCAAAAAATAATTACATTTGATACACAGAGCGCGTAGCCAAATTACTCAACAAAAAATAAGCACCTTTTAAGCACTTTTCAAGCACTCAAAAAATATTTTTAAGCACTTTAAAAAAATAACATAATTAGGCAGGGTTTTAAAGTTTTTGACAATTGGCGGTTTTATCTAGTTTTAACCTTCATGTCAACAAAAATAAACTTTTGACATTGTTTTTGACAACTGTCAAAAATCATGAAATTTTGAAACAAATGGCGTTTTCATACGCTACGGACTGATAATACGCAGAAATAGATTGGGGTTGAATTAATTGTGAAAACGTTGAATAGTACAATGTGAATTGTGTGTCTTTTTACATAATTCGTAGCAAAAATCAACATGGTAAAGAAAAAATCTCATTGTAAAAAGGAAAAAATTAAGCACTTATTAAAAACACCCAATGAGAAAAGCACCTTTAAGGGCTTTTAAAAAACGAAAATCGAAAATAAGCACCTTTAAGCACTTTTTAAAAACGCTACGCACCCTGATACATAATAATTACATTTGATGCTAATCTGCAAATAAGTGTACAGACGACAGGAGCTTTAACAATGTTTCCAAAAATATTTTTCACTGTTTTTTTTTTTTTTTAAATAAATAAAAAAAAAACTTTGAAGATTCCTGAACAATGTCACAAAATGCATTTATCTACCAGTGATAGTTCTATTTTAACATTTTATAAATAAATAATTTTATTTAACAACCATACTTATTACCATACTTAGAATGAGCATTTTATCTTGCACAAATTACATAAATGATAATCTAAAACATATCTTAGCCTAACTAAAGTTCTTAAATTAACTCATTTAAGATAAATCTTAAGATATAATATTTTGATATCATAATTAAGAACATTTTGATTGGAATTAAAGCATACAATTATTATTGTTGAATATGCTGTTTAAAAAAGTTATCTTTTATATTTTTGATTTTCTATAAATTTTGTTCCTAAATAAAGAAGTTTAAATTAGCCATAGTTTTATTACTTTACATAGAATAGGTTTTAATTAAAAAAAGAAGTTTTTAAAACAGTTAAAATTTTTTTAATAATAACTAAAAGAATATACAAGCTAAATAATACAGAAGATTTTCAGACAAAAAAATGCAATATTAAACTATATTAGGTTACCAGAGGTAATGCTTGCCACCTACATGTGGTGCCATTGTATATGCTTGATGAGTAATTAAATGATGAGTGGGAAAGATAAAAGGTTCATCCGGCGTGTTGAATAAAAAGGGACACGCTCAGGAACTAGGAAGAGGCTCCTATTCGAAAAGTACATTACTGTCTCCACCTACTGAGTCATGAAAGAAGAATTGTGGCTTAAGGGAAATTGTCTGGTATGGTACACCGATGGATCAAAGATTGGTCTTAAATCAGGGGCAAGTATTTACTACTCCAATGCAGGTACCAAACTTTACTTTCCTCTTGGTAGTTATGCCACTGCTTTTCATGCTGAAGTTTATGCTATCATCATGTGCTGCATGGTTTGCATCTAAATATACCTATTCACATATGCTCAGCCAGTCAAGCTGCTCTTCTATCACTAACAAGGTGAAAATTCACCTCTTCTTTAGTGTGGGAATGCTTCTCAGTTTTTTGTGACCTTTCTACTTGCAACAAAGTACACCTACAATGGGTGTCTGTGCATATGAATATTCCTGAAAATGAGCTGACTGATGAATTAGCAAGGACCAGCTCCAGTGCGATTTTTTGTGGCTTAAAACCAGCTTTGGGAATCTCTCCCACATTCTTTAGGGCCTCTATTTTTATGCTCTATGGCAAGATTGCCTATGAGTAGTGGCACAACTTGGATGGTCAGAGACAAGCTAAACCAGATAAAGAGAAATTAAATAGTGACTGCCCCAATGTGCATCAAAAAAGAACTTCTCAAGTTTAACAGGAATGGCTTGAGGAAGATCATTCACTTTTTCCTGGTCATTGTACACTCAGAAGACACCTCTACATTATGGGTATTGTATCCGATCCTCTTTGTGATGCTTGTAATCTCTAGGATGAGACTTCATGACATATTGTTTCTGACTGTGAAGTCTTTTCTACTAAGATTTGAGTATCTAGGACAACACTACGTTAAGGCCTGGAAGGACATCCCTGTCAGGTGTTTGCTGAACTTTGTTTCAGCTATAAACAGGGTATCTGCTACATTTTAGATTTTCAAATTTATGACTTTTTCATGCTTTCCCATGACTAGTTCCAAGAGTTTTTCATGACTTAATGAAGTTACTATTTTCTCTGACAAAAACTCAACAATAAATTTAAAAAAGCATTATAACAACATTAATTGAAATGATAGGTATAACCAAAACTGTTATACTCTGCATCTTCATATTTATAGATTTTAAATTTAAAAAACAGAGTAAAGAAAGAGTTGAAACAATAACATAGCTGAAAAGAATACAAAAGCAAATAATTTTTTTATTATATTCTAAATAATTTTAGATAATTTTTATATAATTTAATCTAAATAATTTTAGAATTATACTCTAAAGATATTTTTCTTGTTCATCAGAAAGGAAAGAAATACTCCTGATTTTTCTGTTCTCTTTCAGAATGAAAAAAATTCGCCAATGATTGGTTTGCTTCAACTAGAATTTTGAATTGATAAAATTTAAAAAAAAATATTAAATAATAAAAATTCTTAAATCACAGAAGTTTAAAAGATAATTCGCTCTAGAAATAATGTTTTTTCTTTCATTTTTTGAAAGAACACCATAATTTTTAAAGAACATGATAAAATAATTTTATATTCCAATAAAATATGACTGAGTGGTGATTTTGTTAGGAATTCAGATATTTGGAACAGGATGAAATTGGGGGGAGGGAGATTCCATTTTAAAAATTAGATTTTTCAGAGACCTAAATCCATGACTTTCCATGATTTTTTTTAAAAATTAGTAAAAATCATGACATTTCATGATAAATTTTGTTCACTACTGAAATTCACGACTTTCCATGACTTTTCGTGACTTTCCAGGTGCGGGGATACCATGTATAAAGCTTTTCTGCTAGTCATGATCTAGGGTTTGGGCACAATAGACCTCTGGTCGATGTACCCTGCTTCTCAGACCTGGCCAACTACTAAGTCTAATAGTAAGTTTCCAATTTAAAATAAAAATTTAAAGGATAGAAAGACAATTGTTACAAACATTAAATTTAACAAATCCTCTAAAAACATACCAGATTTATGGATGAAGTAGTCATTTTAACAGCTATGATACCCTTTTGCTGCATGCAGTAAGAGTTGTCTTTCGCAAAGAGAATGTCTTCAAAAGCAATTGTATTGCCCGGTGATGCCTAAATAGAATGAAACAAAATAATGTATTTAAAAAAAATATCTTTGGATAAAATAAACTGCAGCATTTTTCACAAAAATTATTTTTAACAATGGGAAATAGTAACTTTTAAATTAAACATAAGTCGCAGTTATTTGTCATTTAATTATAAAGCACACAAATATTGTATACACCGAAGATTAGGAATAATATTATAGTGAGAAATATAACTTAAAATAGCATAAATAAAACTGGCAATTAATTGTCATGCACTAAAAAACACACAACATCCCCATAAAAGCATTGTAAGGAAATAATATGCATCTTAAAGAAGGGAAATTAAAAGCGAATAAATTGTTAAATTCACATATATAAAAATTATACATTACACAATTCATTCACAATTTTGATTATTCTCCCTATATGAGGCTAAAAAATTCTAAACATTCACAAGAACAGTTTAAAAAAAACTGTTGAAGAATCTAATTTACTTTTTTTTGAAGGAACTATTAAATACAGCTTTGAAAAAATTAAAGGGTAATTCCACCATTTATGAACATTGTATTGGCAAACTTTAAAAAATTATAACTCAGTTAATAAAATTTGAGGGGTTCCAATAATTTTTGAAAAAATAAATCATGTGGTCATTTATATTTACTCCAAATTTCAAGACACAAGACCCAGTTTTTAATTCTGAAAAATTTTTTTAAACAACTGAAGACTGAAGGTTACTAAATTTGGAGTAAATGTTAACGGCAGTAAAACTTTTAACATCAATTATTAGAACTGCTCGATTGTAAATATAAGATATCCTGAATAATGAATTGCCCTGAAGAGCCAGTTTTAATCCATTAAGTTTTTTTTTTCCTTCTCCCCAAGCATTACATTTTAAACCAATCAGTTACATTTATTTCAGACATCTAGCCTGCTTTAAAAGTTTTCAAGATTGAATTTTTAAAAAACAGTGCTATGGAGTCTAGGTGTTAGATTAAATTCAATTCTGGTTAGGCTCTAGGTAAAAAAAATCTTTGATCTTACAAAAGATTATTCAGACAAATATTTATAGTTATGTAAGCTATTACTTGAATAATTAATACAAAGTTAAAGTTAGAAAATATTGTTAAAGCTCAATAAAAAGATAATGCAAATACAATACCTTCTTGAATAAAGTTAGACTCTCAAAAAACTCCAAAGTAGGAGATTAAGATTTCAAACAATGATTCCACAGCTTTGATTTTGAATAACACAAAAGTTTATAATGTAAGCTTTAACATAAACTTAAATACCTTTAAAAAATAGATATAAAAAATTCATCAAAAAAAATTATAATAAAATTGAATTACTTTGGCAGTAACAGTCCATTCTTGAGATCTGGCAGTTCCAGTATTTTTAAGCATCTCTACACAACAATGACGATAAAAGAGTAAAAATCTCACTGTCTCAACAAGACTGTTTTTGGGTATTTTCACATAGCTCAATGATCCAGCATCTAAAAATTTTCATATCTTTATTCTTAAATGGAATTAACAATAAAAATACAGAAATTTTTTCTTTAAAACCAGTAATTTTTTTTTATATTTAAGGGAACTCAAAATCAGAGCTCAAGTTATAAGGTATAGTTTCAAAAACTTTATAATTATGAGTAAATACAAACAATGAATCAATATCATTTAATAGTTAAAATAACAACTATTATCAGTGTGGATAATTATATAGTCAATAATTGTAAGAATCCTGTTTCTGAATTGAGACATTGAAAGAATTCAAAAATTAAATTTTTGAAACAATAATCTAATTAATCATCAACAGATTAATTAAAAAAAGCTTTTCAGTCTAAGTTGTATTATTCGGTAAAAGCAACATATAGCCCAACTTGTGTTATTGCAAGACCTCATTTAATGAGAACTCAGATCTGATCAGGAGATTTTTAATAAAGTTCTGGAAAATTATTTTATTACAGTAGTCAGAAGAAAGTATAACTGTTTCTGAAAAGCTTTCCCTCTAATTACATTTAAAAAAAACTGTTTAATTGTTCAAAAATTACAAGCAGATAAGCTTAGAAAAGTAATTTAGTATGAGATTTCATGCGTCTTGTCATGAATAATATACATATATAGCAAAACGAGTGTTATATGCAGAACAATTGCTAAGCAACAGCACTAAGTTCATTTTCTAATTTTTAGGGATTATCAAGTTATTTGCACTTGGAGTACAGTATGCAACTAATCGAATTAATGAGTACATAAGTATTAAATAAGTACAACCAATTAAATAAGCACTAGCATTAAAAAAATACTTGTTCTTAATTTATTCTCTACATAATGGTTAACAATCATACATAATAATAACAAAATTTCTTGTTAAGAAATCCTTAGAAGATCCTGGATGACTTCATGGAAACGCATAAAAATAAATAGAATGAATTGGGTCGCCCACATGATTCGAATGAAAGATGACAACACTATAAAAAAGATACTGCTTTTTAGACTCACGGGAAAAAGAAAGCGGGGAAAGGGCGTGGTTGAGGTGAGCTGACTCAGTGGAGTCTGATTTTCTTGCAATTAATGAAAAAAATTGGAGATCAAAGATAAATCGGAAGTCGATATGGAGAAATCTTCAGAGAAAGGCATTGGCTCACATTGGGCTGTCTGGCCAACTATGATGATAATGAACCATAAAAAAATTAGTAAGCACTCTTAGTAATAAAACAATTTTAAAAATAAACTAATAGCAATTAAATATTAACATCAACGTTAGCAATATAGATAAAAAATAATAGTAAATGATAGTCCAATTTAAATTTTTTTTATTCCTTTTCATGCATAGTGGCTTTTGTTTTTCATAATTTTAACCAGAAAATTTATGAATAATTTATAATATGTACCCTGATAAAAAAAAGCAGATTGTCTCAATGCCTAGGTTTCCAATACAAATGGTTAAAATGTTTTTGTTAACTAAAAATGCGCACATACAATAATGCATGCTTAATAAAAACAATGCATTGGCTAAAAAAAAATATATATAAAAATAAAACTCAAAGTCTTCAAAAAAGTGAATTCTAAAATAAAAATAAAGAGCATTTTAAATTTTACAAGCTGCTAACACATTAGAACCTGAATTAAAAACAAATAAATAATAGATTTTACCAGATTCTAAGGTTCTAGTAACTCCAACTTTCAGACCTTTGCATGTCAGTGTAGCATTATCCCCATATACAAAGAAATCTTCCTAAAGAAATGCAAGATAAAATTTTAATACAAGATACATATTCGAATGTATTAGTTTCACACATTCAGTAAATTATGTAATAATATGGAACATCATCCACAATTAGGGACATTCATTGTCAATCACTCAATTTCGAAAGAAAAAAAAAACTTATTTTATAATTAGATCTTGAGATGTAAAGACATTTATTTTAATTTTAACGTATGTAAAAAATTAATTCTTAATTTTATTAGCCTCAATGACTAAGAAAATAAGTGTAATACAGTTTCTAATGGAATAGCAGATAATAACATTAGAGTCATTCTCTACAAGCCTAAAAAATAGCAGTCACGCTCAATGTTTAAAACAGATAAAATTATTATAAGTTTTTAGTAAAATGAGGGAATGCTTACACAGGGTGTATAGCCAAATTATTCAACAAAAAATAAGCACCTTTTAAGGACTTTTCCAAGCACTCAAAAAATATTTTTAAGCACTTTAAAAAAAATCCTAGTTAGGCAGGGTTGGAAAAATTTTGACAATTGACGATTTTATCTGGTTTTAACCGTAATGTCTCCTACAGCAAAACATTGTTTGACAATTAAAGCATCAAATTTTGAATCATGTAAAACGAACGACGTTTCCACAGGCTACGAACTGATAATACGCCGGAATAGATTGGAGCTGAATTAATTGTGAAAATGTTGAGTAGAACAATGTGAACTGTGTCTTTCTGCATAATTTGTAGCAAAAATCAACACGGTGAAGGAAGAATCTCATTTTGGAAAAGCAAAAATTAAGCACTTTTTAAAAACACCCAATGGAAAAAGCACCTTTAAGGGTTTTTAAAAAACGAAAATTGAAAATAAGCACCTTTGGGCACTTTTTAAAAACGCTATGCACCCTGTAACATGATGTGGGAATAATAATAATTTAATGAATATTGACATGTTTAAGTATATGTTATTCCTTCACTGCTTTGAAAAAATATAAAGTTACACAATTTATTTATTTTTTAACTAGTCATAAAAAACATTAGAATCAGTCTCTCAAAAAAGTGCCATTTCTAACAGTGACGGCATGAGAAAATAACAATATTTTCTCCAGAAGTTTACAGTAATAAATAAAATAAAAATATATATTCTGAAACTATTTCATCAGAGAAAATTAAAACACTTATTAATACATTTTTAGAAAATTAATTAACTTCATAAATTACAAAAGGGTCATTCTCTCACAATAAGGGAACTATAACAAATGAAATGAAAAAAAATATACATATATTATTTGCTCTGTAAGTTAATAATCATAAATAAAATTAAAATAACAATCTATTTCATTCCAAAAAATTAAAACACTTAGTAATACATTTTTAGAAAATAAATTGACTTTCTAAATTTAAATGAGGGGATGAGAATGATATTTGATCATTTATCCAATTTGTTTACTCAGTTTCTTTTCACACACACTGAAGGATTTATTTAAACTTACTGATATTTGTTTTGCAGTCGTGAAATGTTTTCACCCAAATAATAAGGTCATTAATGTGAAGCATTCTAAATCACTATGAGTGAGGAAATGATATGAATGAGTTTAAAACATCTTTGCTAACTAAAAAATCCATTTAAAGAAAAGTCAACTTAATACATAGAAACACACTTCAAGTGTTAATTTTAAAAGATAAAAGTTGAATAAGAAAAGTATACCCATTTCAGTGAGAAATAATGATTTTTGCCTTTGTAAGCGGTAAGAGTTGTACGTGAGAATAAAAATTCAAAGGTTTAAAAATTAATAAAAATATTAATTTCAAATAACGCTTCAAACTTATGAGATAATGCAATAAAGACATCTTCAAGTTATATATTTAATAAAGAATTTATTCATATTTCTACAGAAAAAATTTAAATATCCTTCATTTACATCATTTCAGCCTATTTGCAGAGAATTACTCATTAAGTTATTCAGGGTGCGTAGTCAAATAATTCAACAAAAAATAAGCACCTTTTAAGTACTTTTTAAGCACTCAAAAAATATTTTTAAGTTACATTACCAAAATGCAAAATAATTTTCCAAGACTTTACATGATCATGATAAAATAACTAGTTTCAGACAAAGAACTCTTCTTGATTATATTAGCCATTATAAAATGATCAAGAGATTTTTCGGTTCAATATCAGAAGGTGGAAAATGAAATCTGAAATTGAGAATATCTTGCAAAATGCAGCAGAGTTGCACATGAAAGTGCAATAATCTCACCGAATGTGACTCAATATATATTGACATATGAACTTGCAAGTACTGCATCAAAGATGTAAAATGATCGGCGCTTCCTTACGATATGGATCGACAGTACGCCGAAATAGATTGTGGTTTAATGAATTGTGAAAGCATTGAATAGAACAATATTAAAAGCAGGTTTTTGCATAATACGTGGCAAAAATCAGCATGGTAAAGAAAAAAATATTTTTGAGAAGGGAAAATGAAGCATTATTTAAAAACATCCAATGAAAAAAAGCACCTTTAAGGGCTTTTAAATAACGAAAATCGAAAATAAGCACCTTTAAGCACTTTTTAAAAATGCTATGCACCATGTTATTCTCATAACATTCTTCTTTGCTCGCCGACTTCAACAAAGTTACAGAATTCAAAATTACTAAAATTGCTCCAAATGTCACAATTACGTACTTCTATACACAAATATATACTTTTTGTTATTACCTAAATACAATAATTAAGTTATGAAGAAACGAGTTTATTAATCAGTACAGTTAAATTTATTTTAAAAAAGCTTTTTAAAGCAAAGCTCTTTGAAGCAAAGCTTTCCAAGAGACAATAAAATGCAATTAATTAGGAAACTGTGTCAAAAGAAATATTAATCATGTCTATCACTTTATCATTTTAAAACTGAACTTTCCTTTCATAGGTGATTCATAAATGATTTCTTTTAAGGAAATAATGTCATTTCTGAGGAGCAATGAATTACTTACGCTTCTTTCAAAAATGCGACACAAGCTTCCAACCTGAAAAATATACATTGCTTTAGAAAAAATGAAAATATATATGTAAGTTTAATAATATTTAAATTTAATTAGTTACTAATTTAATAACAATTTTCTAAGAAAAAAATGTAAGCAATAATAAAATTAATAGGGAAAAAAAACAAACATGAAAATTAAGACTTTAAAAAGAAAAAATATTTAAATAAATAAATGCTTAAATAAAATTCCTTTTTTTGTTATTGTACAGATTCTCAGCAAACTTTTTTTTAGGTTTTTTTCAGTTTTTTAGCACATCAGATAAGCAAGATTGAGAAGAATTTACACTCAGATACATCTTCTTTCTTAAAGTTTATTTGTGTGAGTCACGACATATATTCTTAGACATTCATTGTCAATCACTCA